CAGAGGCTGCAGACGATCAGGGGGCAGAGGCTGCAGACGATCAGGGGGCAGAGGCTGCAGGTAATCAGAGGGTGGAGGCTATAGCTAATCAGAGGGCAGAGGCCATACCCGTCCAGGGGGCAGAGGCCGAGGATAATCTCGGGGCAGAAGCCATAGCTGTCCAGAGGGCAGAGGCTGCAAATAATCGGAGGGAAGGGGCTGCAGATAATCAGAGGGCAGAGGCCCCAGTTGTCCAGGAAGCTGAAGCCTCAGCTGCCCGGGTGGCCACAGGGGCAACCCAGGGAGCTAGGGCCCGGAAACAGGTCAAGACAGTGAGGTTCCAGACTCCTGGACGTTTCTCATGGTTTCGCAGGCGGCGGAGAGCCTTCTGGCACACTCCTCGGTTGCCAACCCTACCGGAGAGAGTCCCCAGGGCAGGCGAGGCCAGGAGCCTTAGGGTGTTGAGGGCAGAGGCCAGAGCAGAAGCGGAGCAGGGAGAACGAGAAGACCAGCTGTGAGGTGAGGGCAGGGGTGCCCCGGACCACACCGCCACCGGCCACGCTCTCGGCCTCGCAAGGCACGGTCCTCCTCTCCCGCACTTGGATGGAGACGCTCTTCCTGCCTCCGTACTTGAAAATGGAGGTTGGGGCGCCTGGGTGGCTCAGTCGGTTGGGCATCCGACTTCGGCTCAGGTCATGATCTCGCGGTTTGTGAGTTCGAGCCCCGCGTGGGGCTCTGTGCTGACAGCTCGGAGCCTGCTTCGGATTCTGTGTCTCCCTCTCTCTCTCTGCCCCTCCCCTGCTTGCGCTCTGTCTCTCAATAATAAATAAACGTTAAAAAAAATTTTTAAAAGAAAGAAAATGGAGGTGAAGCAAGGGCCAGGCCGTGGACCTCCCCCCTCTACCCCACATCCCTCTTTCTTGTTAAAATTCGTTCATGCATTGAGTTTTTTTAAATACAGACTCTTTCTGGACACCCAAAGAATGTAAAGAAAGAGACCCATGGGGAAGAGTTGCATCACCTGTGATCTGAACTTGCTCATATGCAGCTTTAGGTGCTCGGCTTGAAAAAAAAAAAAAAAAAAAAAAAAGGGGGGGGGAAAGGCTGGGGAGAAATTCCCTCCCCTCCCCCTTCACCCTCTCCTTTCTGCCTGCGCACTTAGCATTGACGGCCTCCTTGAACTTAAAAAATGGGCGCAAGCCAACATGCAAATAAAAATGTTTACAAAGCGATGTTTTCCTGGCTTTGGACCTGGCCTCTGAGGAATGCGCCAGGGTGATCTCGTCACTCCCTTGTGTCCCCTCCAGCCCCACCCTCTAAGATGGTGACCTGTGTTTATGTTGCTTTGTGGGCCATTCCCTCCCTTCCCGCTGTGCCCCCTGGGTTCGGGCCCAGGGCCCGCAGTTCACACATTTCACCTGACCCTGGTTACAAGGTAGAGAAGAAAGGGACCGTGTCCAAAATTCAGATCCCGGGGCCCTTCACACCAGAGCTGCGGATTCGCTGAAGGTGGCTGTGTGGCCCAGGGATCTGTTTCCATTAAGCCCCACCAACATCCCCAGGGGCAGACTGGCCACAGGCCACATCGGAACCGCTTTGCAGGGCGCCTGGGTGGCTCAGTCCGTCAAGCGTCCTTGACTTCAGCTCAGGTCATGATCACGATGGCGGTTCGCAGGTTCGAGCCTCACGTCGGGCTCTGTGCCGACAGCTCGGAGCCCGGAGCCCGCTTTGGATTCTGTGTCTCCCTCGCTCTCCGCCCCTCCCCAGCTCGCGCTCTGTCTCTCAAAAATGAATATACGTTAAAAAAAACTCTTTGCAATAGAAACAGTCCAAAAAGCAGGATTGCGGCGTAGCACGTAGTGGGCTGTGACTGGCGCTTATAATCAGGGAGAGATTGGGTTGCTAAGGCCCCATGGGCACTGGCGGGCATCTCTCTGTGTCTCCCAACCCCAACTCCACCAGTGAAAACCAGCAAATGGCCACACCCCAGCCTAGCTGAAGGCCGGAGGAAAGGGAGGTCGTGGTGCAGGGAGGCCTGAAGGCCAGCCCTGTCCTGTGCCTGCACTCCTGGCCTGAGCTTCTCAGTTTTGTTTTGGAACTAAAGAATGACATGCTGTCACCTGCTCCCTCCCCGGAAGTAGTCGCTGCTAAGAGGCCCTTTGCACCTGTGGGGTTTGGAAGAAAGACAGGGTGTGGACCCCACCGGGAGGGATGGACTTGGCTGCGGGCGAGGGAATAACCAGGCTGGACCCGGCCATTCCAGGAGTGCCCAGCCTTCCGGCATCCAGGTGGTGGTGGCCTGGGGTCTGTGGCTGCTGCCCATCTGCGAGAACAGCAGCCACGTGACCACAGGGGGCCTAGCCGGGTTGGGTTGCTGGAAGGTGACAGAAGGTGGGAGCAGAGATTGCCAGAGACACCAGGAGAGGCTCAGGGGTCTGGGGCAAAGCCAAACACCCACCGATTCTCGGTTTGTCGCTCGCACCCCAGTGTTAGAGGCACGAGCATAAATCAAGGCCCGGAAAGCAGAGGTCCCTGGGGTTACCTGAAATTCTACCAGGGTTTTTATACTATTTTTTTTTAAGCTTATTTATTTTGAGAGAGAGAGCGCACACAAAGGGGAGGGGCAGAGGGAGGGAGGCAGAGAATCCCAAGCAGGCTCCACGACGTCAGGGCTGAGCCCAACACGAGGCTCAAACTCACAAACCGTGAGATCACGACCTGAGCCAGAATCAAGATTCCCATGCTTGACCGTCGGAGCCACCCAGGTGCCCCAATACTATTTATAATCCAAGGGGATTTCATTTACTGCTTGAAGGGCCCAGTCCCCAAATGCAACCCACCTGATGCCTCCAGGACTGTGGTTTCAAACATACCAGGATTTTCTTGGAGAGAAGCCCCAGAAAACTAGAATGTCGTCTCCAGACCAGGCTTTATCTGGATGTGCCCAGCCACCCCTAGACGTCCCCAAAGGGAAAAATAATGGAACGCCTCCACCCTGCAACACGGTGGTGTGATATGACAGGAGAAACCTGTTATGGGGGGACATTCGGGGGGACAGAGTAAGGAGGGATTTGGAGCCTGGGTCACCCCTAGCACCAACCCTTACAAGCTGTGCAAACTTGGCTGGTTACTTAACCTCTTTGTGCCCCTACTTACTCATCTGAAAGGGGGATCTTTATAGATACGGAGCTTTCCTCCCAGGGCTGCTGAAGGACTCAAGGAGGTATAATATGTTGGAATTCATATCCGCGCCAATGGACATCATCTGTCCTATTCCTGTTATACACCAGAGGCG